TATATATACATACACACACCTACCTCTGGACATCCAGAGGACTTAGCTATTTTTTTCTTTTTGATTTTTCAATTGAAGGTGCTCTAAATGTTGATTAAAAGGCTTGCATATGAACCTCTTAGATCTTTGGAGTTTTAAGACTGCAGTGGACCACTTTGGTACTGGCCCTGTTCATTTGGTCAGAACTAAACTTGGTCCAATTGCTGGTCAAAGAACCACCAAAATAATAATAGTAATAAAAAATAGTGAACACTTAACCTAGATGAAGTACCTGGCTACTTTGCTACACAGGGTGAGTCAAAAGTCTCAGGACACACTTTTGTTTCAGAAACAAAAGGGAAAATAAAACATCTGAATACACCAGCAAGTAATGTGTGTGAGGGAGGGGGGACAGGGGAGACCCACCTTTTTAAACCGTCCAGAACATGACCTCCATCTTAAAAGCTGACATACTGGATGAAGGGCAAGCTTTTCCAAAGCTAAGCCCCATCACTCATTGCTGGTATTGAGTTATTATCCCCCATCTGAGACTTCTGACTCACCCTGTAAATCACATACAGTTTGGCCCCACCAAAAGCTTTTGTATCAATGGTAAACTTAGAATTTATGAGTCAGTATAACAAAATAAATTTACAAGGTGAAACATACTTGTCCAGCCCCTGAGCTGATGTGGCCCCCTGAGCAATTTAGTTGAACAGCTGCTTTAAAGTCAGCATTGACCATAACCTACATCTCCCATAATGCATGCTGATTATACATGGGAATTCCCTGTAGGAAAGTGGGAGAGTTCAAAATTCAACACTCATCAAGTAAGAAATGACTTTCAAGATTGCTGGAAAAACTAGATCAAACCTTTAATCATGTTTAAAATCTAATTTTACTATCAGATCCTGAACAGAACTGAAACAAACTCCATTCAAAGTAGGAAGAATAAACAAACTTAAAAAGGATGAGCTTGTTTTACAGCAGTATATTGTCTTTATTGGATTATCACAATACGTAGTTAGTCTAGTGACAACAKAGAAAACAGGTGAAACATTGATTTATTCTTCTATTAGAGTAAACAGGTTTAAATATCTACAGTCTGTATATTATCACACTGCAGTTAGAGGTAGTAGGACTGCACAATATTACAAACTGATCATCGTAAACCAATTGAACCACAATAAATTACACTTTCAAACTTCAAAAGCTTCAAAATGACACACAGTTTGATGAGATTTACCAATTCATAAGCAGCTAGTTTTGTTCACAAGTGTCTGTTTCATGTTCAATTTAAAAATAATTTATTGATCCCAAAGGGAAATTACATAATTGCATTTTTGGTTCAGGGCAATGTCATTTCCAGAATGATTTTTCCAATTTAAAAAGGGGAATCCCCCAACTTCATGATGATGCTGACCAGTACATGATGGGATTTCCAAGTACTGTGGCAGCGGTCAGAGGAAAAAGGTCAGTTTTGTGAAGACAGTCCTGTTAAAAACTCTGATTTAATGGTAGTTTAGGGTTATTAGGATATTATCAGGATTGCTAGATGGTGTCTTTATAGATAACTTTTTACACACAAATTAATATTTTATTTATTTTGCGTTGCAGCCAGTGCTCATTCCAACTTGTTTTGGTAGCATGGGTCGTACATTTGTAGAACTACACCTGGTTTAGATGACAGCGAGGAAAATGTGGGTTTATTGCAAGTTTTTTCAACACTGTGCAGCCCTCGTGCAGAATTACTACATAAACATACAGACATTTTCACAACAAGCATCGTGTTCAGATAACAAGACAACTAATGCAGACTAAACACAAGAACCCATGCAAGGAAAAACAACAACTCATGCATAATAGTTAGCTGAACATAGTTCAGAGTATTGGATGTGTCATAAGCACAATGCCACGAAGAGGCATTACTTTGGGCCCACGCTCAGGGGCCACACTGACACACGGTGCCAGGGGACCGGAGAGAAGGCACTACTTCAAAACACAAGTTCTCCCTCATTAACAGCACGTTTTTATCGTACTTCTTCATGTTTTTGTACAACGTGTCACGTTGGACAGGAAGGAAGCCTCAGGGCTTTCATGTAGCTAAAGCTGGCTTTAACGAACAAACCCTGGATTTTATGGAGTCGGCGGCCARTTTGAGCTTCATATTTACCCTCAGCATCCTGAGTAKCAACGTAACAGATTATTAATAAACCATTTATGCATCATACTAATACTCAAACTGTACTGCGTTGAGGCTCACCTGGCTTCATTTTACTTTAACTCGTCTAAACAACCTGCTTAAGTACAAAATGGAAAACTTCAAAATAGGACATTCAGTGACCAGATATGTCTCTTTAGAGCATACTAATATTCCAAGTGCTGAGGGAAAGTACTTATTTATAAAAATAAATATTGTATATTGTAAAATAAATATTGTACGAATAGTTTTTTTAACTCTGCTTCTTGGACTTGTGCGCTCTCTTTTCATAAGGTTTATTCTAAGGTTTTTTATGTTAAAGAGATTAACAGAAGCATTAGTTTTTTTATTTGAGCTTTCAGAACATTAAATGAGCTGCTAATTGTTAAACTCTCAATGTTTTGCCAATTTCCAAAAGCGGTACAATATGGACTATATTGTTTTTGCCAGAAATGCAGATAGCTTTTAATTTATTCTCACTAATCCAGCCTGTAAAAAAACAATCAAACCTTTAATGTGGGACATTAAGATTTAGTGAAATTTAGTGATTTAATGAAGTTTGTCACTTTTAAGTAAACTTTAATAAATCACCTTACATTTTGAAGCAAAACTGTATATTTCAATCAAATTTTATGTAATTACAATCAGACTAAATTTGACCTTTCTTGTATATCTTGGCCAATAATTATTGGTCAACACGGAGAAATTTCTGATCGTATCAACAAAACTAGGAAAAACAGTAAATACACAATCTACAAGAATGTCTGGGGTCCTGGTTGATGATTTAAAAGCAGTGGTGGGCACATCTAACCAAAACGTTAGCTTCACTAAKCACTAATCCGCTAAACAAGAATCTTAGCTCCGCTAGTACTAAACTGATAAAAAATATTAGTGGAAGCTAACGCTAACCGCTAAGACAACTGTCGCTCAGCCTGTGTCAGGTTTTCACCTCCTTCCTGTTGAGGACTGGTMGGACTGACACAGTTTAGTGTTTTATTGGTTTAGTTGGAAGAGGGGTGGGATTATTTGTGGCTAATTAAGTTTAGCTGCTAAAGATGCTACATGCTACAAACAGTGCCTGACATCARTGCTTGTAAGAYGGGATAGGTTTTATTTAATTTAGGATAATTGGAACTAAATAGAAGTTTAAGTAAACAAACCCCAATAAATTTATTCACACTTGTAACCCTTTTTAGTAAACTTTAAATTAGTGAAACCTAATTTAGCAGAAGCTAACCAGTCCTCTGATTCCAAAATTAGCAAAACAGCCAATCTGCTAAATGCGAAGCTAGTTCCGCTCACCACTGCTTAAAACTTGAAGGAAATGAATCCATTAATGTTCCCTTTTTAAAATCAAAATTTACTGTCAAAAGGTGGAAATTTGTCCTTATATTTAAATACTTGGTTACATTAAATAAACACTTARTGTCTGATTGAATTAGTTACTATATATATAAATATATAAAATAAAGCCAGCTTAAAAGCCAGAAGCGCAGATGAAGCAGTTGTTACCTAAACAAAGTAGGCGTCCAAATCTTTTAGTTTGAAACATTTAAAATAATTGTTTCAAAGCTGTTTTTTTCCAAGATTTAAAAGTTGAAACATTTGGATTTGAACACACAGCGATACATCAAAAGTGTCTAAAAGATACGGATCAACAAGTCCATGTACTGTATAGAACATCAGCGACTTTAGTTCATGATACAATTTGTATCAAACAAGGTTTTTCTCCATCTAGCATGGATTCAGCTGGGATCTGCTAGAGAAAACAGCGGACGCCGTTACCTAAAAAAAAAAAAAAGCACAGCGGAGGAAAGGGTTAAATATATTTACAGGACGCTCATGCTTCGTTCAGTCACGCTGCGTCTGGAGCAGAAACCAGAGGCGACCCACYATAAAGGGGGCGGGGGGAGAGATGTCCCTTACTAAAACTAAGGTACACACGACAGGGTCACCCATCTCTACAGCAACAACTCTGACCTGAAAAATAAAACTAAAACTCTTCGTCTCAGAGGAAGACGAGCTCCAACATCCATGAAAAACTTTCCACTACAGAAGAGGATTACTTTGACTTAAATCTTAGAATTCAGATTTTTTTCCCATTTTTAAGAATTAAGTCAGATTTCTGTTTTGGACCCTTGTCTCTAATCCTCTTCCACAGTCCACACAACACATATAAAGATTATTATGACCAGAACAAAGTCAAACTGTAGTTTTATGACGCAGCCAGATTAGGAGTTGTAGATTAATGATCACAGCCACGTTTGTGACAGTCTTATTAAATACTTACAAATGATAGAAAGTAGAAAAGTCAGGAGGAGGTTTTTGTGAAAACAAAGTGTGAAAGTTTGAATCTGGTGTGAGGTCAGAGTCAAACGTGTTTGTTAGATTGTTGCTGCACAGTGAGCAGAACTAAATCTTTGATTATCGTCATGTCTTTAGGTTTAAGGGTCTCCTCACAGACAGCTCTCCTGCTGGATAGCTCAGCATCTTACAAGATGGAGTCTCCAGGTGCTTTCAAAGCAGACGTCAGGTCTGACTCTTCAGTAGCCAGTTTGAGCTTTCTCTGCGAGGATGGCAGCAGCCAGCTGCTGGGGGTCCGTGATGTGGGGGTTCCTGGCCATGACCCGGCTCACCAGCTCTGAGGGGAAGATGTTGCACAGGTTTATGTACACCTTCTCCCTCACGTCCTCGTAGCGGCCGTGCGCCGGGGACTCGGGGTGCTGCGGGACGTAGGGTGGAGGAGCGTGGGAGGGAAGTGTCAGGTGGGAGCTGTAAGGTGGGTGGGGGGAGTGAGGAGGAGGAGGAGGGTGGCTGAGGTAATGTGTGGGTGACGGGTGGAGGGCTGGGTGAGAGGAGTGGTGCTGGGCGTAGCCCTCCGGTGGCCACGGCGGGGCGTGCCAGGCTGACTGCCGCGTGTCCGGCAGGCTCTGATAGGTGGAGGACTCGTACCTGGGTGGGGGCAGGGGGGGCTGCCGGTAGTACGGGTCCCAGCTGAGTGCGGCTTTCTGTCTGTGGTGGTGGTGTGTGGAGAGATGCTCGTACAGGTGGGAGTCGGACACGCTTTCGGCTCGTGTCGGCGCCAGGCAGCGGCCGAGAGGAGAGCTGGGGGGCTGGCGGTTGGACTGGGGCAGGGAGTGGTAGTCGCCTGGGCAGCTGGAGCGGGCAGATAGAGGCTGGTGCTGGAGGTGGGGGGGCAGGGGGTAGAGGGGTCGCTTGGAGGGAGCTTCAAGTGGAGGCTGGTCGTGGATGCAGCTCTGCCCACAGGTCAGGTGGTAGGTGGCGTGTGGACCACTCTGGTACTCAGCAGCATGCAGAGAACACAGCTCGTGGCTGGACGGGACATGGGGGGGATACAGGCGGCTGTGGGGGGCAGCCAAATGAACGCTGTCCTCCAGTAAAGGGTCTGGAGGACATCCAGGACAGGATCTCTCAGTGTAAGAGTCGCAGCTGCTGCTGCAACTGACGCTACTCTCACTGCCACACTCAGAGCCCGCTGAGCCCACTGAGCCGTGCCGCAGGTCCGAGTCCCCCGTGAAGCGGCAGTCTGGGCTCCGTCGGGACGTGAGGCTCAGGCCGGAGTACGCTCGTGTTACAGAGTAGTAGCTTATGTCTGGAGACTCGCAGTGAGGGTACAGCTCATGACTTGGGGCTGGTAGGTGTGTCACCGCTCTGGGTTGTTGATCCTGCGGCAGGCTGAGGCCCGGTGGGGGTCCTGCCAGGGCCGGAGACTGGCTTAAACTCCCGCTGGAGCTGCTGTTGCTGCTCCCACACAAGCTGCTCCTGTGGCCTTTAGCCAGCAGCTTCTCCTCGGCGTCGCTATACGACAGAGCTCGGATGCTGGGGTCCGATTGTCTTTTGGGGGCGCCTTTCTTCGCTTCGATGGTGCCAGCTGGCACACTGTGACTCTTCACGAGTCCCGCATCCCCCTGATTTTTGGAGGGGACGCAGGTCTTGGCGCTGGCACGCAGCTCATCGGCCACAGCTCTCTGAGGCTGAGCCCCTCTTTCAGGGTGGTAGTATTTACACTTGTGGCCGTAGGTGCACTTCTTCCCTGGAGCAAAGAAACATGTTTCAATCAGTTAAATATAGAAAATCAAGCTTTTTTTTTTCAATAAGTGAACATTTAATCTGAACAAACTGAAGATCTCAGCATAAACATTCACTGATCACGTATGTCCCGTCCTGGTCCTCCAGCCTGCATGTTTMAATCATTTCTCTGCTCCAACACACCTGATCCACTGATCAAATTACCTCTTCGGGTTCTGCAGAAGCCCTCTAAAACATGCAGGATGGGGGCCCTCAAGGATCAGGGTGGGACACCCCTGCTCAGGGTCATTTCTGCTACAGTCAATATTTTTCTTTAACAATGCAACAAAATGTCTGATATCAAATATGGCAAATGCAATAGGTGGCCACTGACAACCTTTATATTTTGTTAGTGCAGTATTTGTGACTTTCTGGCAGAACCATAAGTCATCATGYCCTGAACTCCTGGAGCGTTACGTTTTCACTGAGCACTTTAGAAACGGCCTTATTTAGGAGTACACGCATCTTGTGAGCTATTTTACTGTGATCAAAATTACTTCAATATTTTAAGTTATGCAGAACAGGGTCTAAGTGGTGCCGTTGCCAATGTCTTTAGGAATGGTTTCTGTTTCTCAACAGTCTTCTTCCAGACACTATAAACTCTTTTTTGATGACTTCTGTCCTTTTCTACAAAATAAAACAACAACCGTATATTTCATTCTGGATTTAAATAACTGAAGCAAAAATCAAATGGACTTAGAGTTCCCTCACCCGGACGCGGGTCACCGGGGCCCCACTTTGGAGTCAGGCCTGGGGGTGGGGCATGTTGGCGAGCGCCTGGTGGCCGAGCTTTCGCCCATGGAGCCTGGTTGGGCACAGCCCAAAGAGGAGATCTGGGTCGCCCTTCCCATGGGCTCACCACCTGTGGGAGGGCATGCAGGGGTTGGGTGCATTGTGGGTTGGGCAGTGGTCAAAGGAGAGGACCTTGGCGGTCCGATCCTCGGCTACAGAAACTGGCTCTTGGGACATGGAATGTCACCTCTCTGGTGAGAAAGGAGCCTGAACTGGTGTGTGAGGTTGAGAGGTTCTGACTAGATATAGTCGGACTCACCTCGATGCACCGTTCTGGCTCTGGAACTAGTCTCCTCGAGAGGGGTTGGACACTCTTCCACTCTGGAATTGCCCATGCTGAGAGGCGCCGAGCAGGACTGGGCATATGTATTGCCCCCCATCTCGGTGCCTGTACATTGGGGTTCACCCTGGTGAACGAGAGGGTAGCCTCCCTCCGCATACATGTGGGGGGACGGGTACTGACTGTTGTTTGTGCCTATGCGCCTAACAGCAATCCAGACTACCAACCCTTTTTGGAGTCCTTGGAGGGGGTGCTGGAGGGTGCACCTAACGGTGACTCCCTCGTTCTGCTGGGGGACTTCAACGCTCADGTGGGTAATGACAGTGAGACCTGTAGAGGCGTGGTTGGGAGGAACGGCCACCCCTACCTGAACCCGAGCGGTGTTTTGTTATTGGACTACTGTGCCCGTCATGGATTGTCCATAACAAACACCATGTTCAAACATAAGGGTGTCCATATGTGCTCTTGGCACCAGGACAACCTAGGCTGCAGCTCGATGATCGACTTTGTTGTTGTTTCATCTGATCTGCGGCTGCATGTTTTGGACACTCGAGTGAAGAGAGTGGCGGAGCTGTCAACTGACCACTACCTGGTGGTGAGTTGGCTCCGGTGGTGGGGGAGGATGCCGGTCAGACCTGGCAGACACAAACGTATAGTGAGGGTCTGCTGGGAACGTCTGTCAGAGTCTCCCGTCAAACGGACCTTCAACTCACACCTCTGGGGGAACTTTGAACACGTTCCGGGGGAGGTGGGAGACATTGAGTCCGAATGGGCCATGTTCCATGCCTCRATTGTCGAGGTGACTTACCTGAGCTGTGGCCATAAGGTTGTTGGTGCCTGTCGTGGCGGCAACCCTCAAACCTGCTGGTGGACATCGGCAGTGAGGGATGCTGTCAGGCTGAAGAAGGAGTCCTACCGGGTCTTTTTGGCCTGTGGGACTCCGGAATCAGCCGATAAGTATCAGCATTCCAAGTGGATTGCGGCTCAGGTGGTTGCTGAGGCAAAAACTCGGCATGAGAAGAGTTCGGAGAGGCCATGAAAAAAGACTTCTGTATGGCTTCAAGGCGATTCTGGTCCGCCATCCGGCGTCTCGGTGGGGAAAGTGGTTCACCACCAACACTATTTATGGTAGGGATGGTGCACTGCTGACCTCAACTTGGGACGTTGTGTGTCGATGGGCAGAATATTTTGAAGACCTTCTCAATCCCAGCAACATGTCTTCCCATGAGGAAGCAGAGCCTGAGGATCCTGGGTCGAACTCTCCAATCTCCGGTGCCGAGGTCGCCGAGGTGGTTAAAAAGCTCCTTGGTGGCAAGGCACCAGGGGTGGATGAGATTCGCCCGGAGTTCCTTAAGGCTCTGAATTTTGTGGGGTTGCATTGGTTGATGCGACTCTACAATATCGCGTGGACATCGGGGGCAGTTCCCCTGGATTGGCAGACCGGGGTGGTGGTCCACCTACTTAAAAAGGGGGAAAGCAAAGTGTGTTCCAACTATAGGGGGATCACACTTCTAAGCCTCCCTGGCAAGGTCTATCCAGGGGTCCTGGAGAGGAGGATCCAGCGGATAGTCAAATCCTGAATTCAGGAAGAGCAGTGTGGTTTTCGTCCTGGTCGTGGAACASTGGACCAGCTCTACACCCTCAGCAGGGTCCTCGAGGGTGCATGGGAGTTCACCCAACCAGTCTACGTGTGTTTTGTGGACTTGGAGAAGGCGTTCGACCGTGTRCCTCGGGGACTCCTGTGGGGGGTACTCCGGGAGTATGGGGTACCAGGCCCATTGATACGGGCTGGTAGGTCCCTGTACGACTGGTGCCAGGGCTAGGTCCACATTGCTGGTAGTAAGTCAGACTCGTTTACAATGAGAGTTGGACTCAGCCAAGGTTGCCCTTTGTCACCGATTCTGTTCATAACTTTTATGGACATTATTTCTAGGTGCAGCCAAGGTGTTGAGGGGATCCTTTTTGGTGACCTTAGGATCGCATCTCTGCTTTTTGCGAATGATGTGGTCCTATTGGCTTCATCAGATCGTGATCTCCAGCTCTCACTGGAGTGGTTCACAGCCGAGTGTGAAGCGGCCAGGATGAGAATCAGTGCCTCCAAATACAAGACCATGGTCTTGAGCCAGAAACCGGTAGGGTGCCTTCTCCGGGTCGGGGAGGAGGTCCTGCCCCAAGTGGAGGAGTTTAAGTATTTCGAGTTCTTGTTCACAAATGAGGGAAGAATGGAGCGGGAGATGACAGGTGGATTGGTGCTGCGTCTGCAGTGATGCGGGCGCTGTACCGGACTGTCGTGGTGAAGAGAGAGCTGAGCCAGAAGGCTAAGCTCTTGATTTACCAGTCAGTCTACGTTCCTACCCTCATCTATGGTCACAAGCTTTGGGTAGTGACAGAAAGAACAAGATCACAGATACAAGCGGCCGAAATGAGTTTCCTTAGCATGGTGTCTGGGCTCTCCCTTGGAYATAGAGTGAGAAGCTCAGTCATTCGAGAGGGACTCAGTGTAGAACCACTGCTCCTCCACGTTGAGAGGAGCCAGTTGAGGTGGCTCGGTCATCTGGTTAGGATGCCACCTGGACGCCTCTCTGGTAAGGTGTTCTGGGCACGTCCCACTGGGAGGCGGCCCAGAGGAAGACCCAGGACACGCTGGAGGGACTATGTTTCTCAGCTGGCCTGTGAACACCTTGGGATTCCCCCGGATGAGCTGGCCCAAGTGGCTGGGGAGAGGGAAGTCTGGGTCTCTCTGCTTAGGCTGCTGTCCCCGCAACCTGATCCCGGATAAGCGGAAGAAAACAGACGGACAGACGGAAGCAAAAATCACACTGTGGATTTTTATTTAGTTTGATTTTACATTTTTATATATAGGTTTTGAATACAGATAAACAAAAAAACTCTACGGTTGTTTCATTTCTGCTATTTTATTTTGGAAAAAAAAAAAACCCAAAGAACGAACCATACACAAATTCGGATTGAATTCTAATCAGACTCTTTGTTTGTTTTTCATGCTTTCTGAATGCGCTTCAAAGTTTCTTTGCCTTTTCTCTTGTTATCTGTCCAGAAAATACTTGAACATGAAATTGTGCCTAAAAACACCAATCTACAGCAGATTTTCTGTATTGAGATTTCTTTTTTTTTTTTTTGATAAAAGAGAAAATCCAGCAAAGACCCAAGAGATGCATCATCGTCCAGTTGATCTAAGGTATTAGACCCTTGGGAGTCTCTTTACAAGTATTCAAATCCTAGTGTCTGTCAAACTGTGGGATCTTTGGTATTTTAGAAAAATAAATAAATAAAAACTTGACTGTGCCTAAAGGCATGAATACATGCCTCTTCAGTTTAGGAGCCTTTTATGCAAGAATGACTCAGAGGTTTTTGTTACCTCTGAAAATGATCAGGTAATGGAGAGGAAATGACTGTAAAAACATCGAAGGCCAAAAAACATTAAAAATTGTACTTTTCAGGAAACTATAAAATAAGACCATTTTTCAGATTACAAGAAAATCTGGCTTCTTAAAATACAAAGAAATGAGGAATGACATTCTTGCACAGTAAGGTTTAAATATGAGACATTAGCTCACCATATGGACAGGGCTGCTTCTTCTGCTCAGGCACAACAGGCTTCTTTCTCAGGAAGTTGTCTAAACTGGGCCCGTGTCGACCCAGAGGATCATCTGGTGGCATGAATCTGAAACATACAAACATTTATTTGTGTTTGAACTGAAGATGCAGTCTGCTCCAAATGGAAAAAAAAAGAAAAAGAAACAAGCACTATCATTATCTCTTTACTTGTCATTGACAAAGGAATACATGAGCAGACGCTCATCTATGAACTTCTTCCACTCGGGCTTCTCGTTAGCCAGGTCCCTGTAGTTGTCATTGGAGACGATGATGCCGTCTGACTCATACGCCAGTTTGACAATGAAGCGGTCGTCATAGCAGACCACGCGGCGGCCTTGGACGCGCCGCGAGGGAGTGAAGACGAGGATTTTTTCCTTCTCGAGGCGACGCAAAATCTCCTGATCTGTAAGAAAGTGAGAGTGTCTAGAGTGTTATGCGATTCAGGCACATTTTTTAAAAAGTTATTGTAATGGAAATAATACTTTTAAGTCTAAGCAAGTAATTCATGACATACTTTAATGACTTAAGTTTCATGACATGCTGTTGTTCATCAGTGATTATAGCCAGAACAAGATTTGCTAACAACAATCATTCTTAGATATCACTTGTGTTTATCTTTGTGTTTTCCCTTAACCCAGCATTTCCTTAGGATGAAATCTTGCTTTATTAAGATGACATAATAGTGTTTGTTAAACAGTATATATGAGGCCTCAACTTCCTCATAAGTTGAAACAGGAGCAGAGAGAAGGGGGACACTCTGATGTTGTTCTCTGTATTCCTGTTGTTGCAATAAAACTCAGTTGATCACTTGCACGGAGTGCCTTCATTCTTGGACCACGTATTTCTGTCTTTGTTAAATAAATATTTCCATAACAGTTATTCTGTTTGATAAGCTGCCCTGCCTGCCTATACATTGGGCTGATCTTTAGCACTTTTCTTTTTGCTCTGCCTCCCCTGCTCAATTTTTGTTGGTGCTAATTGAACGCACCTGACTGCAGGTGAGTCTGGCTGTAGGCCAGGACTATTCAACTGGTGGCCCGCGGGCCAAGTTCGGCCCGCCAAATGGTTCATTCATCTGAAGTCCAAGCCCCCGGTTTTCTAATTTAATTACTATAAGTTATTTTAGTTAAACATAGACATGTTGGGTATTTACAGAAACATCAGAATCTTGGCTACAACCTGGTAAAACCATTTCTGTACACACTCAAGACAGTTAAAACTACAAGTTGTTGAAAATAAAACTACAAAAGCGAAAATAAAATTGGTTTAAAAATCTGGCAAGTCAGAGATGTCAAAATAATATTTGTGTTAAATAGGAGGCATAATGTGTTATTTTTGTTTTGTATATTGTTTAATTATCACTACTTTTATAGGGTTCTGTATGTTGTATTCATGATTACAGCAAAATAAACTATTTCAAAGGTAACAGATCTTTGTAATACTTGGTTTATTTACATAATGACTTTAATTGCTGGATGTTCAGCTCCTCAGCTGTTGACCTGCAGTAACTGTGGCACCCGGAGCAATTTAGCTGAATTGCCCTGCTGTAGGCCTTGGCCCTCAGCCTGCATATTTTGAGTTTTGTTGATTTTTACTTTTTGTAGTTTTGGCCTGGTGGGACCGTTTTCTTTACCYGAGTATGATTTTTTATCTTTTATGATAGGTTCTTTTAGGTTTTTTTGTTAGTTTAGTTTGGTGTGGCTTGGACGGCCCTGTGTAGGGTTGGCCCACTGTCACACCAGTAGTTTAATTTGGCCAGCTCACTGGTCCATCTTTTGTTTGTACTTTGAGTTTTGTTTAATTTGTTTAGTTTGAGCATGGGTAAATAAAGGTTCATGTTATTTTGTCCTTCTGTTGCAGGAAGGTTTTGGTTCCATTATTTTCAGCATGGTTCCAGCAAGGACAAAGGACCAGACTAATTAATAAAAATCTAAATGTTTGAATCTGAATTCAGTTTCTGTGTCCTCTCTAAATATGTAGTGACCCTCATGATTTTTTGGGGGCCGTACCATAGAGAGACCTGCTGCAGCACAAAGATAGGAGCAGACATGTTATGACGCTGACCTGTTATCGGGGCGTCGGGGCGGGACTGCTCTTTCCTCCACGCAGGAACAAAAACAGTGATGTTTTGATGACCTCGCTCCTGGAACCAATCCACAGCCAGCTGGATGCCCTGACAGGAAAACACCTCCTTGTTGCCGTGGCTGCAGAGAGGCAGCAGGTAATGTTTTTGGTCAGGTTATGGTGCACAGATAACCAGATAACACACAGACGCTCATCACACAGGCTGCTCACCTCATGGCCACGTTGCTGCCGTCCACCACGACCGGCCGCAGGTTGTCCTGGTCACAGACCGAATCCGAGGAGCAGGGTGAGTCCGAGCYCTGCCCGTCCAGAACATCGGAGCACCCGCACGAGGAGGCCGAAGAGGAGGTGGATGAGGCAGAGGTCAATATCCCGACCGGCTGCTCGCTGTCGGACTTGTTGCCCAGTTTGACCAGTTCTCCCAATATGTCGTTGATGAGGGTGTCGGGGCCCAGCTTGGACAGCACAAGGTGCACCGTCTCTTCAGAGTAGCCCAGCTTCAGGGCAAAGTCCAGCTTGGCCTGGTAGGCCTTCCCTCTGCTCTCAGACACTGGTTCAGACGCAGGAGGCGCAGGTTCAGGCGGGTCATGGTCATCCTCAGCTGAAAGTTCAAACGGGGGTTCAGGAGGTCCGTCGGTGCCTAGGTCAACACACGGGGTCCGGCACAGCGGCTGGTGGGTGTTTTTGCTACATGTACCCTCTCCTCCGTCTGAGTCCCTGCCTGCAGCGTGAGCAGAGCCGGAGGACGGCGCCGGCTCGCCCTCCCCTCCAGACCCGCCGCTTTCTTCCAGCCGGGCCAGCAGAGGGGAACTGGTGCTGTCGGAGGTCGCCCCCTGCTCCTCCATAGCAGGAGGCCCGTCAGCGCTGCCAGCTTGCCGGTCTGCCCCCACTACATGGAGATACTCCAAGTCCGACCCCGAGTGGAGAATGTGGCCTGCTCCTGGCTCCACATGGTCCTTCTGACCCATGGGTCTGTCACAGACATCCAGCACTCTGGCCTGAGTTCACCCCGCTCAGAGAAGACCACTCATGGAGCCTGAAGAGACAGAAATAAAATGGTTGTTTTCCAGAAGCAGGGTCTAAGATCGACTGAAACGTGGTAAAAGCTGTGTTCCCTTTCAGTCATTTCACTCGGTACAACACATCATGTATGGGAAACCACGCCCCTGTGTGTCCTGGCTGAAGCCACCTCTAATCACGCCTTTAGGCAGGTGACGTGATGACGACAGATGTCAGGCTCCGCCTGCACATATATATACTGTCGCCATCACAGTCACTCCTTAGTTCTGTTGCTCTTCACCTCGCAAGAACACCCACCTCTTCCAACCTAGCTAGTTAGCTGCTGCTAATTAGCTTTGTTTGTTCGAAGGTTCTCGGATTTAGTTTAACGGCTTTTGTTGGTGTCAGCTGCAGCTGCCTACTGGTAACTGTGTCTGCCCGCGMAGCGCTAACTTTGAGAAACCTTTCTTACCTCGACGAAAGAGAGAGTTTTGTGGTTCGGGATGAGCACAAAATTACTCAAGAAGAAGCAGAAGTCTTCAGTTCGCCCCTGTCCCCAGGGGTGCGGCTTCTCGCTRCACGAAAAGGACCAGCACGAGGCTTGCCRGGTCTGTTTGGGGATCGTCCACGCTCGGAGAGCGTTGACGGAGCCCGAAGCGTGTGCATTTTGCCGCCTGCTTCGACACTCAACCCTGGAGAGACGGGTTAAGTTCTTGGAGYAAGTGCTGGGCGAGGCTGCAGTCACGCGGCAGGACCCTCTCCTCTCRGAGTCTAGTAACCCGGTTCCGTCCGAGTCTGACAAGGAGGAGCCCTCGGTCGAAGTCCCCGCTTCCAGCTGGGCAGACCAAGTGGAATACGTTGTGTTGCTTCTGGCACTAACAACTGTTAAACGGGTCGGGGATCTCCATGCTCTGTCTGTGAATCCCTCCTGTATTCAGTTTTCACCTGATGGCTCCAAGGTGGTGCTGCATCCAAACTCAGCATATCTCCCTAAGGTGATACCTTCTAATTACAGCTCCATGTCTATTGAGCTTTCTAGTTTTTATCCTCCCCCTTTTGCATCTGAGGAACAGAGGAGGTTACACTCTTTGTGTCCTCTACGTGCACTGCGTYTTTACATTGACCGCACACAGGAGGTGAGGTCATGTGATCAGRTGTTTGTGTGTGTTGCTAACCCACTCAGGGGCAGAGCTCTGTCCAGACAGAGACTCTCCCACTGGATTGTGGAGGCTATCTCGTTAGCTTACAGCAGCAGGGTTCTCCCAGTCCCATCTGGTGTGAGAGCTCACTCCACCAGGGGTGTAGCAGCATCCTGGGCCCTATTTAAAGGGYTACCTGTGAGTGACATCTGTGCTGCGGCCAGTTGGTCTTCACCGCACACATTTGTTCAGTTTTATCGCTTAGATGTGACAGCCCCCTCGGTGGCTCACTCTGTGCTCTCCGCTGGATCTGAAGTGCTGCACTAGCATGTTATTATGACCCAAGTTTGGTGCTGCTCTGCGGGGTCTTTATATATGTCCCATACATGATGTTGTACCGAGTGAATTGACTGAAAGGGAACGTAATGTTYTGCATATAACTACTGTTCCCTGAAGGAAAGGAACGAGGTACAACACATGGTGGCCCCGCTGCACAGCTGGGCTCGGTGAAGAGCAGTTACCGAACTAAGGAGTGACGGTGATGCGACAATATTTATATGCGCAGGCGGAGCCTGACATCTGTCGTCATCACGTCACCTGCCTAAAGGCGTGATTAGAGGTGGCTTCAGCCAGGACACGCAGGGGCGTGGTTCCCATACATGATGTTGTACCTCGTTCCTTTCCTTCAGGGAACAGTAGTTATATGCATAACATTACGTTACTCTAAATGAGACGCATTACTTTCATAATAAATCACATTAGTTGATGTAAAACTCTGAGCTGATGTAATCTACTCGGGCTGCCAAAGAGAACTAAAAGGGGGGAGCTCATTCTAATTAATGGACTCCTGCTTTTCTCCCCCTCAAGTTGACCTGCGTATGTTTTTAAAAAGCCGTGCCACATCACATCAAGCTACAGGCTTACACAGGACCAACAGTTAGAGAGAGAGACACACCACACCGGTTTATTCTACCTGATAATTACTGCCCGTATGTTTCCTCCCGCTGAGGTTATGAGCCAATCGGGTTATTATTTGGGCACCAAAGCACCTTTTTTCTAATTAAAATATCGAACTCTGAAGATAAAGCTCCAAACCCCGAGTCTTGGCTGGATTTATTGTACGCGGAATTTAGGAATTAAACACAGTTTTAATATCTGTATTAAGAAGTGACTTAAAGCTGAAAAGAGGGATGGGGGTGGGGTGGGGGGCAGCCGAGCTACTGTTGCTAAGCCACGACGGTTGAAAGCTTTCCCCCTTTTCTAAATGCCAAGGCGGAGGCAGCAGAGTTCAGCCGGTGACCTGACTCGCTCCACAAACACACGTTATGAAAGACAATCTCATGTGTGGGGGTGGTGTGTGCGTGTGTGTGTGTGTGTGTGTGTGCGGGGGGGGAGGAACAGGGCTTAAGTGTGCCCCAACAATAGATCTGAAGCGGTGATTAAGAACTGGGACCTTGGCGTCAACCGTTGTGGGAGTCGATGGCGCACACACACCAACACACACCTCACAAGATGGCTCAGCTTGGGGAATATTTCAGGGACACTTTTTTTTCTTTCTTTCTTACTTTTTTTTTTTTTACTGATGATCAATTCTGAGTAAAAGCATGACGTCAGCACTTTTTAAGAGTCTCAGCGTAGATAAGCCTCATGTTTTAACTCTGTCCACCACAGCTGTGGCTGTTTTACTGTAAAATTAGTTTTAAATAACTAATATTTTTTATATTTGTATTTTTTTTTTACCAGATTTGTTCAGTTAAACAACAGTTAAATACATGTTCAGAATGAAAATAAAACACTAGTATCTGTCAGTTTGACTGCAGCTGGTTAAATATAGTTAGATGATCATCAGGAGTCGAACCAACGGGCTGAGTGTTGGTGTCGACCACCTGTTTATGATGCTGAGCTGTTTGTTCTGCTCACAGTTCAGTCTCCTCCCCTTTTTCACTTTGTGTTATTAATCAGTTTTAAAGTTTACCATCATTACAGTTGATGAAATAATTACTGCCAGCTGACAGTGGGAATCGAACCTTCAACTTGTGTTCTCTCAGCTACTTCCTGATCACTGTGAGCTGTTTGTTCTAATGTCTGAAGACTTCATTCATTCATTCATTCATTCATTCAAAACTAAACAAATTCTATGTACAACTACAAATACATATCACAAATAAAATGAAAGGTATCAGAAGAAGATCAAATCTTCTGCTCATTTTGCAGTTTCCTCTTTAGATCTGTTAGTTACCTCCACCAAGGGCGAGGTAATGTTTTCAGTCGCGTATGTCTGTCTGTCGTTCTGTCTGTCTGTCTGTCTGTCTGTCTGTCTGTCTGTCTGTCTGTCGTTCTGTCTGTCTGTCTGTCTGTCTGTCTGTCTGTCTGTCTGTGGACAACATTACTCAAAAAAGTGTGGACAGATTGTCATGACATTTTTATTACATGTGGGTACTGGGCCAAGGAACACATCATTAAATTTTGGTGATGTTCTGGATCATGATGCAGATACAGGAATTTCTTTTCAACACTCTGACATCGGCAAAGCTGTGATGCTTTCACAGGGCGTGTATTTCAAAGGGTCCAGCAGGTGGCACTGTAGTATTGGTGTGCCCCTTTGTTCTAAGAGTTAAGTCGCATGTGTGATGTCATATCTGTGAGACAAGGGAATGGTGTGTGATTTGGGAAAAATTGGTAAGATGACCAGGAAATAACCTTGAATGTTAATAGATAATGCTTTAATAAGTTCAATATTGTAAGATGAATGTTAAATTTCTTTTGTAGGGATGAGGATTGACTTAGATTGGTTCATACCATTGACCAATGTGACCTGGCCAGGGCTGTTGGACTCCACCGGTAAGAAATCCCTTGCATACTGCCTGCTTAAATGTTCGCTACATGAGAACTTATTTGGCAAATGTGTTTCCATCTCTGCTTTTGCGCATTAACTCTATTACAGGATGGGGGAAATTGGTCTTGGTGGAGGTTTGCACTCTCAGAGTGCTTCCAGTTTAAAATGAAACCTGTGTGAGGATTTGAGCCTTATTTCCTGGCTGTAGTAAATGATCCTTATATTATGTAATCAAAAGAACACATCACACATGTAGATTTAATGTTTCATTTTCATTACTGAATCTGAAGATACATTTATCTGTTGGTTTTGTTTTCTCTTCAGGCCAAAGAGAAACTCCCTGCTTTGTTTTGTATCTTTGCCATGACCTCTGCAGATAGGCTGTACTCTGATAAACCTGTTTGCTGTTTCAATCAGATAATTGTTTTGTTTAATTCTTGAGTTCACTAATATCTCAGAAAATCCACCACAGACACTAAAATGCCCACAGCTACACCCACCAGAATTTCACTCTAAAACAATTATTTTTATTTTTTGGTAAAGTACTGTGAAAACATTACATGACCTTTCAACATCAGCCACAGCTGTGGTCGACAGACTTTAACTGAAGAACCTGATGTTTGTACAGTATATTCAGGTTGGGCTGGATCAGACTCTGGTTCCTGGTTTGAGTTCAGTAGCTCGTCAGAATGTCCTGGTTATTGGTAATCTGCTGCTCAGAGGTTGGCAACAGGATTCAAACCCTGAACCCCTGACCTTCCTTCCCTAAAATGACTTAAACACTGCTCCAACTTATGTATGCTTCTTTTTACAAGTGACTAAAGAGCAGACTAGTTTAAAATCATTGCACTAATTAAATGCAGCTAGATATTTGTTTGTTGCTTCTGAAGGCCACAAAGAGGGCAACAAGATTTTATTTTCCATAAAAGTATCCCTCTTATGATCAGTTCAGAAGACTGAACCTTTTGTGTTTGGTTCTTTGAAAGAGTTCCCACACCTGGGAACATTCAATGACTTTCCAGGACCAATTTCCTCATCAAGGACCAAGTGCTACGACATTTA